GGGGTTGTCCTCCTGAAACGGCAGCTGTGGGGGACAGCGGGCGGTCAGGGAGGTGGCCAGCGTGGGGCAGCCGGGGCCGGCCGCTGCAGCCCAGCAGCTTTTCGGGAGACAACAACCTGCCCAGCATGGCATCTCCAGGACGGAGATGTTCTCCATCTGGCCCAGCAGCAGGACTGCACTGCCTGCACCCCAGCAGCAGCACGTGACCATGTCGGAGACAGGGTTTGCAAACGGCTGAAGCGGTGTAAGAGCAGAGGAGCTGCCCCAGCTGCCCCCGCTCAGAGGGGAAACAGCAGGTAGTAATAAAAAATAACAAGTGAGAGCATTGAGAACCACCAGGACTTTGGTTTTATGTCTCCCCTGACGAAGAGCCTGGAAGGATTCCCCTGTTAATCCCGTCCCACTGCCAAACACAGCTCCATCCAAGGACCTTCTCGAGGTTCAGCACAGCGAAGGGTCCGGGACAGCCACATCTCCCCTCCCCTGTCCCCTTCCCCGCGGTCGGAGCTGGGGCAGGAATGTGCCACCACCAGCCCCAGCCCAGCCACGGGTCTGCAGCACGTGGGGACAGACCCCCTGCTTGCTGCCGCCGGCCGGGAGCACACCGAGCAACGCCTGCCTTCCTCCATCACTCCTCCTGAACTCTCAGCAAGGGGTGTCATGGATGGGGGACACTCTGACTGCTCCCAGCCCCGTCTGCAGGACTGATGGGGGCCGGCCGGGACGGACGGACGGACACTCAGATGAACCTCACTCACAGCGACCTGTCCTTTGGGGCGGTGACAGAAGGAAGGGACGGGGATGGCAGCAAGAGTCCAGCCCTGCAAAGGAGGAATCAAATCCCCTCGCCCCTGCGTGTCCCAGAGAGCTGCAGCCGCTCCAGCAGCTGCCTTGGCGCGTCTGGCTCGAGATGCTCGCCGGCAGCACACGCCAGCAAAGGCCGACGGCGATGCACGCCTGAAGGAATTTCACGAATTGATCCCCACGCGAAATGGGTTCCTGCCGCTCTCAACACGGACGAAGCAAAGCGGCTCCCGCGCTTGACACAAATCCTGCCCAAAGCACCGCTCGCACCAGCGCTCGGCAGAGCCTTGTTTTTCTTAGCCTAAGTGCTCCCGTTGTTTGCCAAAGCTCTGTTGTTCTTGGCGCTGTGGTGAGAGCGAGGGCGTCTTTCCAAAACCTCTTTGTGAATATTGAAACATCTTTGTCAAAAGGTTTTAATTAGGCTACGAATCCCAGAAAGTGATTTGCGGGTGCCGAGCACGCCAGCGCTCCCATTAACAGCAGCCCTTGGCGGCAGACGCGCCCGGGACCCAGCTCACGTTTCATCCTGAGCCTGTGCTGGAAGAAATGCCAAAGGCGAAG